GGAATCTTCAATTATAATTATTAATTCTATTATATAGTATTCTTTCTTGAAGCGATGATGTATCCTTATTCCAATCATCAATATCCGAATTAAATATTATATTTCCTACTTTTCTATTTGTCCATTCTTCTATTTTATTCATTTCTTCCATTGTTATCACGTTGTTAATCATTTCTAATCTAGCACTTCTTTCTTTATAATCACTATATTGTGATCTCCATTCTTCTTCCTTGGACATACTTTCTTCTTGAATATTATTTATTTCTTCAACCATATTTTTTATTTTTAGTTTTATTTTGCTAATTTTATCTTCCTTAATCATCTCTTCCATTGCAATGACTTTGTCTATTAGTTCATTCTTTGCTTTACCGATTAAAGCTTCATCTTCTTTATATTATTCTATTATTCTTTTGAATTCTTTCTTCATTCTTTCTATTTGTATAATTGTTTCTTGTCCTTTTTCTAGTATTAACGCTTTTCTTTTTCTTTCTGTTTCATCCATACTCTTAATTATTCCTTCTCCTCTTTTAATAGCCTCTTCATATGTTTCATTGTCTTGTTTTTCAAACACTTCATTTTTAATACTTTCTAAATAGTATTGATAGTTGTTAGTAGTATCGTCAATTGTCTGTCGAATAACAAGAAGTTTTTCTATTGCTTCTTTTATCAATTTACTGTTCTTGTTTCTTAGTTCTTCCATTTTAAATTAATTTGATGTTTATAAATTAAACATGAGACTGTTTAAATAATTAGAGACACCTTTACAATACATGTCAACACATTATATTAAGTAAAATGTAAATAAAAATTAGATAATACTTGAAAGAAACAATAATTATTTTTTTATTTTATCATACGTTGTTTATTATTTTTAAATAAAAATTACTAAGTTAATTTTCATTAATTGTTGATTTTTTCTATTCCACTTTGCTCAAGAGACTATTTCATTCTCTCTTTCTGTTTTGTTCATGTTGTACTTCTATACCTCTATTTTCCTCTCCATTGTCTCCACATTTTTTCATTAAGTCTTTCATTTTATTATTCATTTTATCTTTTACCATTATTCTATTTGCAATTATAATGTTTTGTTTTTCATCAACCTTATTGTTTCTTTGTTAACTATTTCAATTACTTTCATTATAATTATAATTACTTTTATTTTACTCTATTAATTTGTCTTATTTATTTTCTCTTAGAGTATTTTATCCATTTCAACTTTATTAATTAGATTCCAAAATTTATCTTTTTGTCATTTTGTCATGTTTTTTATTAATAATATTTATCTTCTATATAAATATATGTTCCTTTATGAAATATTCATTTTTAGTGACTATTTCATATTTCAATACATTGATTATTTC